GGGGGAGATTCCCGGTTTTCCATCTCATCGTCCTGTGACAAATCAAAAACCGGGACGCGGTTAGGGACAGGGACTTCTGGTTCAAGAGGAGGGCTCGCAGGGCTGTGTTGATCCCCTAGTTCAGGCGTTCCAGGTCCTGGTACAGCGGGTTCTGGGTCAATCACATCGTTGCCTCCTCTGGCCTCTCCTATCCCTAGGTGCACTACAGTCGGCTCATGTGTTGCTTTGTTCTTGTTTTTGAGATGTTTGAGGTCATTAGGGACAATCCCGTCTGGGTGTGCAAGCTCCGGAGGTCCCCACATGCCAAAGCAGATCTGAACGTTCTTTGGCCTCGGAACTTCGTCGGTCCTGGGGGGAATGTCCTGGTCTACAGGTCTAGGGGACCCCGGGACTGTGCTTTGGTCATCATCACATCCAAGCTCATCTTCTCCGTCGGCATCCAGATCCATAACTGTCCCCTCAGCTCTCTCAACTTCAGCTCTCCCAATGAAAGAAGCCTCCGCCTCGGGGGGAGGAATTTACCAGTACAAATGCAGGCAAGGTAAGGCAAGGCAAGGCGCAGTGCAGTGCAGTACAACCACAGTTCAAGGTCAGGCAAGGGAAGGAAAGGGCAGTCAGGGACAGCGGGGGACGTTTGGCACAGCGGCAAGACTCACGAGAGGCAGGAGCAAGGGACAACCGACAACCACTAGGGGCCAGGGAGTGCATACCACTACGGGATTCACCCCAAATAAACCTGTCGGAGGGAAAAATTTTTCCCGAAAGGGAAGAACCAGGGCACTCTAGGCGCTCTCTCTCTTTCGGCAATAGATCTCGAGCCGAAACTTGAGCCAATTTAGTAGTAGTAGTAGTAGTAGTAGTAGCAGCAGCAGCAGCAGTAAAGTGGTGGTGTGTACGGGAATCGTCGTATGATCCGGCTAGTAGGCGCGGGCTAGGTCAGAGCACCTGGGCCCAAAAAACAAGACCGCTTGCTGCGTTGACCAGGTTCCTCTCGATGCCGCGGCACGACGTTCACTGGTGCGTTCTGAGAGCCGGACGTGGAAGGAGTTGGTCTGGATAGCGGTGTGGGCACACTGCAGATCACGTCTCCAACCACAACTGGAGGAGGAAGGTCCACTTTTCGTCTTTTCGACCGCAGATGTGGAATATACGGATACGAACTCCTTGGCAGCATGCAGCATGCGAACAAGCACCGGCTGATGGTGAGTTTGCTGATGAATGCATCATACCGGTGGGAGGCTGGCTGCTTCTTCAGGAATCATCACAGGGTGCAACACCTCCGGTCCGTGACGACGCCAAGGCGCTCGCGCATATTCGACACATAGTGCAGCACAAACAGGAGAGTTCATCCTGAAACTCAACCCAATAAGCTGGTACTGAGCACACACAGAACCACATGCCTTGGCTGTGTGTGTGTGTAGTGGCGAACGTTTGACCAAGCTGCAGAATGGAAGCCATACTTCTACCGGAGACGAAATACACCTCTGCAAAAGTCTCAATATCCAGCGAGCAGTCGTGAACGACGGCATCCGCAAAGAGCGCTGCCTCAGGCAGGATTGTCACAGCCAGAACACGAGGCAAGCAAGGTCTAGAGTTGACACATTGCCTCCGCAAAGAAATGGTACTCTCCTGCAAATCGCTCGGTGTCCTGACGACCACAAGAATCACTAGAAATGCCATGCGAAGCTGAGGGATGTGGCCGGATAGCGGCCACGGGTCCTGTTCTCGGCCAGATTCCCCGCGAAGGCAGAAGCTTCCATGGCTGGTGATGTACATGCCCTTCGCCAAGAGCCCGACCACAAATACCTCGATGGTAATTTTTCGGTTCAAGCTGTGGCTCTATCCGGTCCCTTGACATGTGCCAAGATACAGATTCACCCTCGTAGAACAGCTGCTTCTCCAGAATGCCTTGGGTTCTGCGGCTGGGCACGAAATTGAAGTAGCACGCTTTCCCTGTCGTAACAGCTTACTGGATAGCTCTAATTAAGCAGAGGAACAGCAAATGTCGGCAAACACTTTCGGAAAGACTGATCCTCAGCGGCGCATCTCGGGGCCAAGGATGCTCTTGTGTGTGGCTACTGCACATGGGTCAGACCGAGAGTCTAATGAGGGAGAATAGCGGATGGCCGTTCATGAGGTGGCCCTTCTGAAACATGGCCAACTCAGCCTCGAGCTCTTTGCGGTGTCAGCATGTCGCTCATTCTTTGAACTCTTGGGATTCACGGATTTTTTTAAGAATCCGCCAAGCCGCCTTGAGCAATGGCGAGATCAGGTCCGGGTCAAAGGACACCGGAGAGTGGCGTTCCAACTTGTAGTCCGCAAAGCTCATGATTCGCATTATGAGCCTAGGTCTGCCAACCGAGGCTCCTTTACGAAGCATGCAGGTTCTGGACAAAACTAGTAACCAGTATATCCGCACATGTCGCGGCCATGTCTGCGTGGCCAGGGTGGCAGGGGTGACACTTGCAGTACTTGCCTACAGGATGCACCACTGTCTCATACTCTATACGAGGGCTTAGGCAACTTGAGTGAGGCCTAAGGCTCAGCTCAAAGTACACAGCGAGTGTTGAGAAGAAGCAACGTCTAAGGCTAAGGAGTGGGGAGGCACGCGAATGCTCCGGTGATGCGCTCGCACGCATCTATTTTCGGCTTCAACTTCCTAAGCTCTTTTGAGGAGTCTGTACAAGGAGAGCACTGGAGCAGAGCCACGCCGCTAGGCTCGGGATCGCTGGGAAGCGCCACACAAAAAAATCTGCTTTGGTAGTCAAAAGAGTTCGGGGTCGCTCCAAGAGGATCTTCATGCCGACATCGCCCTCCAGGACTCCCAGTGAGGATTGTTCTGCTTGGACAGCTGCTTGAGCTTGTCTTTAACTGTCACAGTGCTGCCTGCAGGCTTGGCACGTTCCCAAGCTTCTTCCAAGCCCTTCTCGTAATCGTCCGGGTTGATGAGGCCATCCAAGGGATCCTTAGAGTTGGCGAAGAGAGGATGCTCCCTCCAGGCATCATCCAACTCCTTGGCACGCTTGGTGCCTGGCACAATGCGCCAGAACGCATCCTCCTGGAACGAGTAAAGCACGAACATTCCCATGGCCACTGCTGGAAACACCAGTGTGGTGAGAGGCACCAAGACAGCTGCGAATTTGCGCTGGTCTCCATACTTGGCTTCTGCATCCTCGGCGAGCATTGTAAGGGCTGGCAGAGCAGCAGAGGCTGCCACGGCAGGATTGAATTCTGCAGTTCTCGGCTGTGATGGACCTGACACGAAACACCATCGCAGCCCCAAAAGGAGCAGCGCAGCACAGCTTGCCGCCGTCAGCAAACTTCCTCTTCGTGCCATGGCGAACGCGCTCTTCGAGTTGGAAACAGCTCCTTCCCTACGGAGGAAGTCTGATCCGGACAAAATCAGTGCGGATTGCCCATGCGATTCAGCCGAATCGTGCATCCCTGGCAGCCAAGGCACTCGGTGGGCGCTGTTTGCGCATGGAGGTATGTACGAAGCTCCCTGCGCTTCCGACTCCGTTCGTTGTTGATGGTTCGTATCTCCTCGCTGAGCACGCAGCTTGCAAGAAGCGTGAATCAAGTGGTTGACTCGACAGACAGCTTCGTGAGATGCTGTCCAAAGTTCTTGCAAAGTTCCCGTCATCATGGACAGCGATGAACCAATCACCAGGACTGTAACCACAACCTCCCAGGCAGGAATCGCATGTTTCAAACGTCAGAGGACCAGAGATGCAAGAATCTATCTCTGCCAAGTTGCCAGAAAGATTGAGACCAGCCGCTCTGTGAAGCTGTTTGGGTCTAACACAGAGAGCTCCGGTGGGGATGGCGGTTGGACAATCCACGCCAAGGCGTGGATGTATTGTATGGGGCCTCTGCACAGGCGGCACGCGCTCGCCTACTTTGCAGCATAAACGAAGAGTGTGGAATACAGAAAAGTCATGTAGCTGCACGAAGTCGTGAAGTGTCGTCGCGGGCCTGATGAATCGGTGACACTGGCGAGGTCGATCCAGCTCTTGCCGGTGGCCACATACAGATTTCCGACACCCTCGGGCAGCAAACCCTTTTGTATTTCCACTCTCTCCGAAAGGTTTGTGGAAGTCGGCTAATCTAATTGCAAAAGGCTATAGCGAGTGCGTGCAGTGCCTGCCGATGCATGTCAAAGCAGCGTAATTATCCACACACTGCTGCATGCTCCTGAGCACCCTGCAAACCATGCACAGGCCTCAGTTCAACTTGTTGGGATTAGTTCGGATTCCGCACATTGCCATTGCCATCACCGTGTCCGTGACTAGACTTGCTGCAGCTGCGTTCATTGCGTACAGAGTAGGCAGGCAGGGCCGTTACATCTGCAGCCAGGCCGCCAGAAGGTGAGCTGTCAACCCAATCCAGGCCAACATCTTCATGACGTTGAATGCCAATATCAGCCATTGGCGACCCATGGCGATGACGTAGTTCTCCAGCATTACGTTGATTCTTCCCTTCTTCACGATGCCTTGAGGTGTAGTGCGAAGGCGAAAAATTGCCCGGATATGCAGAAAGAAAACTGTAACACTAGCAGACGGGCAGAAAATGCATCATCATGAACATAGAAGAAAATCACTTGTGAAACTGTGAAACGAAAACGGACTGCTCGGATGATCGAGGCTGGATGAGTCTACTAACCCTTTCTGCCAGGTGACGGAGCACACGAATGCTTCGAAATGCTCGGAGGTATCGTGCCGTCCGCAGCGTTCTGAGATAGCCGACGTCTGTCTTGCCTTCAGATGCCGTCGTTGCTAGCCAGGACACCCAGTCAACAGCCACGACTGCAACGTCGAATAAGGCCCACGTCTGCAAGTAGTTCTTGGCAATGCTGGACCGATTCAGATTCAGAAGCCCTTTCTGGTAGAATCCAGTGTTGAAGTTGGCGAAAACATCCAAAGGCCAAAATACCAAGTGCATGATAGCATACAGCTGCACGAACAGATCCTTTGTGGAGCAGTCATGAATGAGTTTTCCTGACCTGCCTGCTAAAGGATCCGATCAATGCCGGTCAAATAAAAAAAGATACAGACCGCAAAGCTCGGCCAGGCTGAAAGCCTGCAAGCTTTGTTGCCTCGAGGAAAAGCCAGGAATTCCACTTCCATGAGTACCACGCTTGTCATTCAATAACCCGCGCCGCGGGGATTGGCAATCGCGTGGGGTGCCGAGCTTCGTGACGGTTTTGCGCACATGACTCAGAGGACCCAGGCACTCGTTGATTACTTGTGTTCTGGACTCTGGCAACTCGCACAAGGCAGGCGAGGCTCAAGACATCTCAAGACTACTGGTCTCACCTAAAGGTCCCTGCGCCTCTTGGAAGATTGCTGGCGCGATTGGGTTCAGTTCTTTCGGGACTGTTGCCAGTCGCGCGCCAGGCTGATTCAGCTAGCATCGGTACTGCGCAGGACAGTCCAACAAGTTTAACACTGGAAGCCTCACCCACTACGAGTACAGTACAGTAAACAAACCATGCCTTTTTGCATTTCTGCGCTCGGTATCTGCAACTGCCATGGACCCTGCTGCTGGTTGACTTGAACAACGAAATACAACTTTGCTGCATCGTCCGGGGAACATCCCTTCGAACTGGAGACACGTCAAAATCCCACGCAAGGCTGAGCGGCAGGATCAATGCATCCAGCACGATGAGACCTTGTTCGTATACCGAACCAGACCACGGCTTGCTCGCTGCACTTACTGGGACGCCATACTACATGGCAACGGCTTGGGCTGAGGGAATCTCGGAATGCATCAGCAAACGTACTCCCAGGAACCTGCTCCGACGGCATCCCACGCAATTCGAGGTCGCGAGTGTGGCGATAGGACTCTGCAAGGAGCTGAGTCGAAATCCAGCATGGTTCCTTCTGAACTCCTGATTGCGTTGCGCAAGATATATGCAGCACCTGCTCAACTGGCATGGTCCCCTTCGAAGTTTTGAAGTATCACTTGATCAGTCGGACCATCCCACTGTACCACCGAGCACCATCCCTCTGAATTCAGAGGCTTCTACCCTCCGTGCGCCCTTCAGGTTTTCAAGGCTTCTTTGTGTCCTGGCAGAAAGGGCTCGCGTAGTGTGTCGCCGAAGCGCTGACTGCTGGAGCCCAGCTGCATGCAGAGCCCCTCCTGGCAGGTTCGACCAGCAGGGGAAGTAGTGTTTTGGTGGCACAGCAGCAGGCACTACATACTTGGTTCGACGGGTTCTGCGCGTGACGCGGGAGAGGCCACATGCTGTGTCACATGCACCGCATCAGCGTGGACAACAGCCTGATGTCAGGGAGAGCTCCATGAAGTGAGAGTTCAGATGCCTTGCCAGTGCGGGAATTGAACAACTGCTACCCGGGTGCCGGTAGAACTTGCAGACTTCCAGGCTTCCGTCTACGTGGTGGGAATAGTGGACTGTTGGTGTCTGGAGCGAGTTCTTCTGCTTCGAGCCAAAGTTACATCTTCGGACGGTCATCTGCATGGCTCAGAAGCGAAGCCTCAGCATTTAGTTCGGCACTTACATGGGAATCACGTACTGCAAGATACAGGGATGTACCAAGAAGCTGCGTGCTGCGTTGAAGTGCTTGCCATGCCCACATGCGAAGGATCACGCGCCAGGTCATTGCACATGATGCAGGTCTTCAACACCGGAGGCACTTCTGGTACCGCATCCTCAAGGGCAAGCTTGTCATTCACTCTCAGATTAGTGAAATACGGCATTGGAGGCATAGTCATAGTCATAGTATGTCATAGTTCGACGTGCGCTTCGCTGAAGACTTCGCCGCTTGAAACGGCTCAGAACCGGATCCTGGACGACACCCGCAGCCGGGGCCAGCTCAGCATTGTTTGCCAAGACACCAACCTGGCTGTCAGGCGGAGAAGGAAGCGGAAATAGGAGGTTCATCACTATACCTTGTGTCGTGTCTGTAGAACAGCGGGTGATCTACACCCTCCACTTTAGAAAGGAGTTGGTCCGGGTGGTGACCGACTGAAAATGCAACACGGATTGCCATGCCAAACAACAACCTGCGTGCTTGCTGTGCTGAGGGCTTCTTGCTGGTTCAGCCGCGCTGCCGAAGTCCAGTCTGTGATTTTGCTGGGCCTGTGAGTCCTGTAGCATGACGAGCCGGCGTTGGCATACACCGTCTCAGGCCAAACTATTTGCGAGAAGCAGGAACGTGACTATGCGTGGCTGGATGCCCAGCCACCGATAGCCATGTTCAGGGTAACACTGTGGCTACACACCAACTCCGCTTCGTGCACATGCCCACGCGGCAGATTTTGGGGCGTGTCGGCGGACAATAGAAACGACAAGAAGGCCGAACACGCTGGCCTTGTGAGTGCATGCACGAGACCTTTGTGTACACGTGAAGTCAACAACACAGTTGCAAGCCGGTGTGTCTCCCTGTTTAGATATGTTTAGCAAGCAACCCGTCCCCACACTTGTCATTTTCTTCTGAAATAAACCTTTATAAGGAAGGCGGCATCGCTGGGCTTTCGAGAGGCGTTCTGCTAGGAGATATCTCGCAGACCGTGCAAAGTGATGTTCAACAAAGCGACAGAAATCTTTGAACCGCCATCCCTCAGGGCCCTGCACCGTCCCTTGAAGTCCCAGAGCTCGCGGCCTCTGCACGAACCTCTCCGATCACCTTCTGCAGCTGGGACTCCAGCTGCCGCAGGCCTTATTCCGGTTTCACGCAGGTAGGCAAACAAGTCTCCTGCTTCCATGCGCATTACGCTGCAGCGTCCGCGCTGTCAAGACTCGATCTGCCGACCACACGTCTGCAACCAAGCTGCTGTAAAGCAAGGCTGCAAGATTCGACATGTTGCGCAATGGTGCATGAATTGCAGGATGTGTCTGGTCATTCGATGTCTTGTTTCATTTTGGATGATACCACATTGGCTGATGCAGGGTCGTTCGAACCTGTTGGGGAAGCAATCATCTTGACGAATCACGGCGAGCGGAGTCGCACGCGCCGGCCTTCCGACGAACTGGTGCTGCACTGGCTGCCTACACTAGGGGCCTTAATGACTAGAATAGGGTTTTGGGGCCCATTATACTATAATTATAATAAGGAGCCCCCAAAATAGTATAGGTTATTATACGACCATCAACACTCCAGCTTCGTCGCTGCATCTCGCTGATCTCGCTGCACGGCACCATTTTCCTGCACTGGTATTTCCAGAAGTTTAAACCTTCGGCTGCAACCGCGATAGCGACGCATTTGTCGAAGTCGCCAGGCTAACGGATTTAAAGCCAAGCGCAAACTACTCATGTTGCAAGCTGGCGGACTTGTTGCGATCGCGTCATGACTAATTTGCAACGTTTCACGGCGATGATTTTCACAGGATTTGAAGTGCTGCGCGGCGCTTCAAAAGCCAAAATGTTTCATTTGTGGAACATGCTATGTTGTGGGCACCCACGCACGATTGAATGCAGGCAAAGTGTGAACACACATGTGCAAGTCAATATAATCAGGAACTATAAATACTATAAATATAGAGTCAGCGTTTAGCAGGTAGATAGTTAGTCTTCACTTTTGGTTTGGACGAATATGTAAGATGGGTATTCGGCCCGGTTTGGCCGATCGCCTTCTGGGAAAACTAAAAGCCTACAAGCCTGCAATACGCCCCCGGATGCCGAAAACGCCTCTGAGGCTTAGTCATAATGAATTCGCCATTTTGTGTCTGGCTTTTTTTGGGGATTTCTGTTCATGTACGACTCGGCTCTAATCAGCGAGGCTGCTGCCCTTCTACAATCTTCCACACCTCTGACTCTCCCATTGTTCGCAACTTCGGTCGAGCGGGCTGTTCATCAAAACTCACATTTAGATAGATCGACAAGTAGACGGATAGACGGATAGACTTAGATAAGTTCAGCTAGATACATCGACCGATAAACCGATACATCGATAGATAGATAGATAAATAGATAGATAAGAGAGAAAGATAGAAATAGATAGACAGATAGATAGATACATAGATATATACAAAGATCGATAGACAGATAGTTAGGTAGATAGATAGATTCTCCTTGCTGCGGCGTTCGGACATTCAGTAATCTCCACCCCTTTTTTTCCTTTCCATCTATGCTTGTGTCCAGGTTCTTTTCCCTCTTACTTTTCAAGGAGGAGCCAGGTTGAGGAATTGGGCTTTTGCAAATAGCTGCTTAAATAGCTGCATGCTCGCCACAAGCCCTCGTCAGCATCGTTCGATGCACAGCCCAACTTGCTGTCTCGCTACGTTTCGGGAAGCGCTGCCCATGCAGCAAGTTCGTGACAATCCATTTTTGTAATGCTTACACACTCTGACAAGTCCTGCATCGGACTGATAACTGTGAAAGTAGCATCCAAGCCGTCTGAGCCATCTACCCAGTCTACTAGCTACAAGCTGAGACGGAGCCTCAGTTGCCACTGCATGTTCAGTAAACAGTACACGGGCATGTCTTAAGTCCGCACGCTTGCCAACCCGCGCAGTTTGGCGGAGCTTTGAGCTCACCATTTGCAGCAGGAACTAAGGAAGTTAACCTGAATTCATCGATCCATCATGCAGCTCATCAGCTTTCACGGTTCCATTGTACACTATGCCCAGTACTACACCACAACAATCTCTTGTCTTGCACATCCAAACATTGAAAATGCAAAGAGCGACTTCTCGAAGGCTCCTGAGGCTGCCCTCTGCACTGAAGCACAGGCTGACTCACAGCAGAGCCCGCTGCGGCTCGCAACTCTCAGTTCTGGCTTGTCCAGCTTTGTCCAGCTGTCTCACTAGAGACCTTCTGTAGCTGCAACAGCTCCCGCACTGAGTTTGCTATCCTTGGCTGTGCTTGCCTTCGTGGCATCACAAGCCAAGTCTCCAGGCTGCAGCTGAAGCGCGCCGTGACATCAGATTGTGGCTCGCCCACGCGACCCCAGTTTTCCTGCGTGATTGTGTGTCACTTGCTGTGGCGCTCTCGCGCTTTTTCGTACTCGGCATATTCCATGACCTCATGACATGGCCGCCTAGGTCCTGAGTCAGCTCCAGGATGAAATCGGGATCCTTACTTTTGCAGAGGTGCATTGCAGTGGACCGTTGCAGGCTTGACACGGAACAACAGCAAGAACTCTTCCATTCCAGCCGTTTCTAGCCGCAGCTAAGAAGCCCGGAATCGCAGCTTGGAGCGCGACAGACAGGTTTGAAAAATGTAGGTGTTTTGCACCATGAGAATGAAGGCTGCCAAGTCAGAGAGCTCCACATGAACTGTGCGATGTCCTGGCAAGTGCTGCTTCAATTGCAGTGTCGATTTCGGCATATCACTTCTTGCAGGGCGACGGCGACTTGGCCATGCTTCAAGCCGCATATGTCTGCAAGACAACAAACAGGCTCCAGCTACTGCATTCTACACCATGTTGCGCTGTATGCCGGATCGAAGTGGTGTACACACACACACCCTTCTTGTGCCATTCTGTGGGCATCCGGGCTGAGCGACAACTCACGCTAGTGCTAATCTGGGCATACACGAAACTGACTTGTGGATGTCAGGAGAATTAGGTTTCCACAAATCGGGGAAATCGAACGCCCAGTCCAATGCCAAGTTTCATCTTTCAAGCCCCAATCAATCACAACTAGCGGGGCTTAGTCAAGCATGACCGAAACCATAGGTAGCTAAGAGCACTCCAACAGCATCCCACGAAGAACGAAGCTTCGCCGGATTGAGATTGTCCAGAGGACAACTGCAGCATTCAGCGCTCTTCGACAGTTTCGCTCACAATGCGACCCAAACTTCGTGCACGCAGGCTTGAAACATGATGTGGCTGAACTCGAAAAATCTCAGTGTCAGCCTCGACAGCGCGATTTGCGCAGAGCCACTTGGACAACCTGGATCAACTCCACTAGCACCTGCGAAGAGTGCTGCAGAGTGCGCCAGCAGTATGGCGTTCCCCTACTTAAAAAATCTTAAAAAAAGAAGGCGAAACGTTCTCGGATTGGACGCTGGTTTGAAGCGACCTCAAGGAGAGTCCGGACGGTGACAAAGGGATTTCCCTTCGCTTGCTCCAAGCATAGAGGCAGAAACCTCGATCCGTTTTCGAACATCTCTCAGCACGAATGCAGATGCTGCGCACTGTAACGAGCAACGAACTAAGGCACGGATCTGCCAAGTTGCTCAAACACGATGGCATTTGTCGTGATGCCGTTTGACACGAAATGCTTTGTCAGCATCCATCGCTCTTCATGACCTCTGTACGACTTTATGCAATACTTCCAACGTTGCAGCTTTAGGCAGGGCCAAGCAGCTTAGCTGATGCCATGCATGCAAGATGTGGGAATAGTCCGCCTCGCCTCGCACAGCCCACATGCTCGTTTGCAGCCCATGACACACGGTCATCAACATCACGCGCAGAATCTTGCAACATGTCTGCCATGCTTGCTGAACAGTTCTGCCACTTCCGGATGCAGGTTCGATACACCAGTCCCTGGACACACATGAGGCTGCTGCTCTGCACCCGGCACAGACACACCAAACGGCCCAGAGCGAGGTCTTCTGGCTGCCGTGCCTGCAAGCTCAAGCCCAGCATTTGCTTTAGCAGGGCATGAAGAGCAAGGGGAATTGCTTTGTTTTTGCTTCGGGGCTCTACGGATTCGCCCGGTGCATAGCCGCAGTGCTTGTAGCAAGGGAATTGCTTGCGTCTTGACATATCGCGGGCCTCGAGCCCGAGCAACTGGCATCTTTCGTGGACATAACTCCAGTACACCATCTTGGCATCCTGCCGGTACCCCAAGAGCCGACTCTGGCAAGGCCAGTGCCACCGTTCACACATGTTCACACGAACCGGGCCTGGTCTAGAATATGCTGCAACGTGCTGAGCCCGAGAAGAGTTCCCCGCGCATTGTTGCGGTTCATGAAACGCGACCCGACTCCGCCAGCAAGGCCGCTGATGAAACCGAGCACATACAGCATGTAGACTTGCAGCAAGTCCTTGCAGGTTACCAGGGATGCTGGCGTATGCACGCGTCGTCCCTACTTCTACTCGATCACGGCGGGTCCTGCGGATGATCTCTGCTTGCCAGGTGCTTCTGCAGCTGAAGTACATTGCCGGGCACATTCTCCGCTTGCCTTGTCCATTCAAAACCCCTTCTGCCCCCTCCATCGGCTTGTCCCTGAGCTAGTTAGACCCTCCAGCAAGCATGAATAGCAACAATGCAACGGTAATTAGTGAACGCAGGGCCGTTCTCGCAAGAAGCAAGCCACAAGGCGTGAGATCTCATGTTCGAACCGGGACTGATCAGGTGCTTCCTACACAAGCCTTACGCAGCAGAAGGGCAGCATCTGCGCGAAGTTGAAGAGGGTTGCCAATTCCAACACATCACGCCTTTGTTGTGACTCGCGGGCTTGATCAGGACCTACTGTCACCAGACAGGCTTGTCTGTGCTTCAGTCATCGACAACATGCTGGTTAGCACGTGGCCATAACTCGACTAGATGCCAAGACTTGCCAAGAGGCAGAAGGAACTGTGCCCGTGCACTTAAGCAGGCCGCTGTGGGCACCACGTTTGGGAAGAAGTCCAAAATGTGCAGCAAGGCCTTGGCTCTGCATCACAGGAAGTGTCCAAACTTTCAAAAAATCGCCTGACAAGACAAGCAATATGCCTTGCCCCTCATGTTGTGAAGTGTTGCCCACCTGCTCTGCCTATGGCATCAAAAAAAGCCCCGCCAGAGCCCCAGGCAGGCGCATCCGTGCACGTGCCTTGCAAGTCTCGTCGATCGAGTTTATGGCCACCCGTTTGCTGCAGAAACCCGGGAATCCAGCCCAGTGGAGATCGAAACGGCCCGGTTGACATGGCTTGA